GGCAGATCTCTGAGTTTGAGGCCAGCCTGGTCTCCAGAGTGAGTGCCAGGATAGGCTTGGAAGTTACACAGATAATCCCTGTCTCGAAAAACCAAAAAAAAAAAAAAAAAAAAAAAAAAAAAAAAAGTCAGAGATAACCCCCATTCCCAAACTAACCTTAACATATATGCAGAGGACTTAGCGCTGACCCATACAGGGCCTGTGACAGTCACTTCAGTCTCTGTGAGCCCCTATTATCCCTGCTTAGTTGATTCTGTGTGCCATGTTCTCCTGGTGCCCTTGACCCCTCTGACTTCTACAATCCTTCTTCCCCTCTTCTGTGGGGTTCCCCTGGCTCTGCCTTATGCTTGGCTGTGGGTCTCTGTATGCTCTCATCAGTTGCTGGATTTCACCTTTCTGATGATGTTGGTTAGGCACTGATCTATGCGTATAGCAGAATATCAGTAGGAATCATTTCATTGATTTTTTTTTTGTCAGTAATATTTGGGGTCTATCCTGGGAGACTGGGCTGTCCAGCCTCTGGTTCCTGGCCATCCAGACAGTGTCAGACATTGGCTCCGTCTCAAGGCACAGGCCCCAGTTGGACCAGTCATTGGTTAGCCACTCCCACAAGTCAGCACATCTTGCAGGCAGGACAGGTCAAAGGTTTTGAGGCTGGACTGGTAACCCAGTCCCACTGCTAGAAGCCTTGCCTGGTTACAGAAGACGGTGGGTTCAGGCCCCTTATCTCCCTTTACTAGGGCCTTTGCTAGGGTCACCTCATAGATTCCAATGAGTTTCTACTGCACTGAGTTTCCATATTGCCCCCACCTGGGTCCCCACCAACACCCAAAGTCAAAACCTCTCAATTTCAGTTATCTCTCCCAGTGCCTTCTCCCTCTACCCCCCACCTGCTAACAATATATCCACCATTTTATTTCCCCTTCCCAGGGAGATCCCTATGTGTCCCTCCTCCGCTTGAGTCCTCCTTGTGTATCCTCTCTGCATCTGTGGACTGTAGCATGATTTTCCTTTACTTAACAGCTAATGTCTGGTTACAAGTGAGTACTTACCATGTTTGTCTTTCTGGGTCTGGGTTACCTCACTCGGGATGATTTTTTTTTTTCTAGTTCCATTCCATTTGTCTGCAAATTTCCTGATGTCATTGTTTTTAACAGCCGAGTATATTCCATTGTGTAAATGTACCACATTTTCTTTATCCATTCTTCAGTTGAGGAATTTGTACCATTATGAATAAAGCTGCTCTGAGCTGGTTGAGCAAGTGTCCTTGAGGTATGATGGAGCATCCTTTGGGTATATGCTCAAGAGTGTTATAGTTGGGTCATGAGGTAGATTGATTCCCAATTTTCTGAGATTTCCATAGTGGTTTCCATAGTGATTCCTACAGCAACAGAGGAGTATTTCACATGGTCCACATTATCTCCATCATGAGCTGCCACTTGTGTTTTGGATCTTAGCCATTCTGACAAGTTGTTTTGATTTGATTTTCCCTGATGGCTAAGGATGTTGAACATTTCTTTAAGTGTTTCTGTGCCTTTTGAGATTCTTTTGTTGAGAATTCCCTGTTTAGATCTATACCTCATTTTTTGATTGGATTTTTGATTTGTTGATGTCTAGTTTCTTGAGTTCTTTATATATTTGGATATTAGCCTCTGTCAGATGTGGAGTTGGTGAAGGTCTTTTCGAATTTTGTTGGCTGCCATTTTGTCCTATTGACGGTTGTCCTTTGCCTTATGTAAGCTTTTCAGTTTCATGAGGTCCCATTTATTGATTGTTGATCTTAGTGCCTGCACTATTGGTGTTCTGTTCAAGAAGTTGTCTCCTGTGCCAATGCATTTGAGGCAATTCCCCACTTTCTCTTCTATAAGGTTCGGTGTATCTGATTTTATGTTAAGGTCTTTGATCCATTTGGATTTGAGTTTTGTACAGGCTGACTGATTTGCATTTTTTCTACATGCTGAAATACAGTTAGACCAGCACCTTTTGTTGAAGATACTTTCTTTTTTCCAGTGCTTTTTTTTTAATGTGTGTGTGTGTGTGTCCTTTTTCTGATTTCTTTGTAAAAAAAAAAAAAAGTGTCCATAGGTGTATAGATTTACATTTACACTCAATTCTGTTGGTCAACCTGTTTGTTTTTATGTCAATACTGTGTCAATATGTCAATACAATTTTTATTACTATAGCTGTGTAGCATAGCATGAAATCAGGGATGTGATACCTCTGGAAGCTCTTTTATTGTTCATGACTGTTTTAGCTATCTTGGGTTTTTTATTTTTCCATATGATGTTGAGTATTGTCCTTTCAAGGCCTGTAAAAAATTGTGTTGGAATTTTGATGGAGATTGCATTGAATCTATAGATTGCTTTTGGTAAGATGGCCATTTTTAGTGCATTAATCCTACTGATCCACGAGCATGAGAGATCTTTCCATCTTCTGATATCTTCTCACTTTCTTTCTTCAAAGACTTGAAATTTTTTTTATTTGTTTAAGATTTTATTTATTAAGTATACAGTCTTCTGCCTGCATGTGCCCAGCAGGCCAGAAGAGGGCATCAGATCTTTTTCAAGGTGGTTGTGAGCCACCATGTGGTTGCCGGGAATTGAACTCAGGACCTCTGGAAGAGCAGTCAGTGCTCTTAACCTCTGAGCCATCTCTCCAGCCCCCAAGACTTGAAATTTTTGTTCTACGAGTCTTTCACTTGCTTGGTTAGAGTTACTCTAAAATATTTTATATTATTTGTGGCTATTGTGAAAGATGTTGTTTCCCTGATTCCTTCTCAGACCTTTTGTCATTTGTGTATAGTGTGTTTGTGTATAGTGTGGTAGTTTGAATGTAATTGGCCCCCATAATCTCATAGAGAGTGGCACTATTAGGAGGTATGGCTTTGTTGGAGTGGGTATGGCCTTGTTGGAAGATGTGTATCACTGTGGGGATGGGCTTTGAGGTTTCCTATGTCCAGGGTACTGCCCAGTGAGTCAGTCCACTTCTTGTTGCCTGCAAGATGTAGGAATTAGCTATTTCTCCAAGACCACATCTGCCATGCTCACCTGTCATGATAATAAAGGATGGAACCTCTGAGACTGTAATCAAGCTACCTCAACTAAATGTTTTCCTTTTTAAAAGTTGACAGGGCTGGAGAGATGGCTCAGAGTTTAAGAACACTGGCTGTTCTTGCAGAGGTCTTGAGTTCAATTCCAGCAACTGCATGGTGCTCATAACCATCTATAATGAGATCTGGTGCCCTCTTCTGGCCTTTGGACCTACATGCAGGAAGAATACTGTATGCATAATAAATAAATCATTAAAAAAAGAGTTGCTATGATTAATAGGTTTTCACCTTCCACCCCCATAATGTTCCTCTGGCAAAGCAAGTCAAACTGAAAAAGTATAACAGGTTTATTTGAGCAAAGCAGCTCCTGGGTGAATTCTCCACTCCCAGAGATGGAGGCTAGAAAAGTTACACCCACAAAAAAAAAAAAAAAAAGAAAAAGCAGGGAGACTTTATGACTTTATAGGTTGTAGGTTAGGGGTGACGACATGCCTGCCACAAAGTGGGTTTGTACCCATGTGTTTTCAAAAGCTGAGCACTCTGGGTAGGGACTTGGGCAGCTGGCAACTTTAGGAGGGAAAGTTGCAATAGCTGTCAAGAATTTGGAATTTTTGGCACCTTTCTTTTGTTTGGAGACTTTCTAAGTGGCTGGGGTTTGGAGAGGGGGGAAAGGAGTTGGGGAAGAAGAAGGCAAGGGAGACAGGAATGGAGCTGGAGGTTCCAACCAAACAATGGTGTTTCTTCCAGCAAAAAAAAAAAAAAAAAAAAAAACCCTAAATAAGACAGAAGTTGGTACCAGGGACTGGAGTATTTCTGTGATCGGCCTGACCATGCATCTATTTGGAGGAATGTGAACATTGGTACTTTGGCTTATGAAAGCAGATGAATGCTTTAAGTGCTGTGTACTGGGCTAGACTTGTAGGAGCATGGAAAACAGTGGTACCAAGAGTTATTTGAACTGTTGGGGGATCAGCCAAGAGGTTTCAGAGGAGAAAAATTTTAGTATATTGCCTAGAGATCATTCTTGTGATATCTTGGTGAAGGTGGCTGCCTTTTGTCCTTGTCCAAAGAAACTACTTGAGGCTAAAGTGAAGAATTCTGGGTTAATTCCATTGGCAGAATAAATCTCAAAATAGCCTAGTATAGACTCTAGGTTACTAGTGCTCATGCTTATAAAGATTTATAATGAGGGGGCTGGTGAGATGGCTCAGAGGTTAGGAGTACTGTTTTCCAAAGGTTTTGACTTCAGTTATCAGCAACCGCCTGTTGCCTCACGACTGTCTATAATGAGATCGGGTGCCCTTTTCTGGTGTGTAGGGATACATGCAGACAGAACACTGTATATATAATAAATAAATAATGCTTTCCCCAGGCCTTGAACTCTAATGAGTTTGGCCAGTAGGTCTTAAAACCTACTCTAAACCAGCATCTCCCCTGTATTTTCTTCATTGTCCTCCTACCTACCTTTTGCATGTGAACGTAACTTATCCAATGCTAGTCCCAGCGGGCACGTTGGGAACGTTTAGTTTGTAGAACTGTGTGTGTGTGTGTGTGTGTGTGTGTATGTGGGGGTGCTCTCATCCACACACAGCCCATCAGAGGAGGTAGCTGATGACTCTGTGGACTTTGATGAGATTGGTGATATGCTGGTCTGGGTGATAAGACTGTGTTTCCATTGCATATTGTTGTAGAACGAAACTGGGAGATTCTGGGATGCAGTTAATGCTTTTGTCTCCCAGAAGGCACATAGGTCTGTGAAAGACAGAAAAGAGGACCTGAGGCTAAAACTTGCTCTAGTGCGGACTGCCTCCCATGGATCTAGGTTTTTAGCACACTTGATCAGCTCAGGTCGAGATGGGCGAGAGATGTTCCCTAGAGGCAGTTTGCCAGTGTCAGCGGTTGTTGGCACGTGCTTCCGGTCCTGTCTGGGACCCAGAGACAGGGCGGCCAGATGCGGGGCACCAGGGCCCAGCAATTGGGCCAGGGTGGGAGAAGAGCCTGCCTGGGGGCTGTTTTCCTACTCTGTTTCAGCCTCTTGCCACTACATGCCCAGGACTACACGCCCCCGCAAATAGCCCCACCCATGCTGGACACCTTGCCCACACCAAATGGCCCAAATCCCCTGTCGATAGGTAAGTGCTCCTAAGAGGGAGCAGGTTTCAGGTGGGCATGTCCCTTTCCTTTCCCTTGATATGTAGGCAGTTGGGAGGGTCTGCAGGCCTTTACACCGAAGGTGAGACTTTGGGGGTAGGGGTCTATACAGAATACCCACATCTGCTGACTCTTTTCCATCGATCACTAGACCACTCAGTTCAGGGTAAAGGTCATGTTCTTCATTGGGTTGAGATAGGAGGCCACACCCATCCAAAGGACCATGACCCTGAACAATAATGGTCTCTGTGGGCCCCGGTTTCTGCCTCCTCACAAGTGCTTCTCAAGTTAATAAGGTCTGAGGAGAGTCTGGCAGCACCCTCCCCTTTGCCTGTACCTCTGTTCCATGGACCTTGCTTGAGTGGCTCTCAGCCTGACACACCCCACCCCTGCCATCCAAGAGGCTCTTTGTCACATGAGCCATGCCACTCCACTCTTGACCTTAGCTATACCCACCTGAAGAGGGAGAAGAGAGGCCATTGCATCCCTTGGGTCCTGCTGATGCTGACATTTTGGGCACCAAGCACATGCATCCTGAATGCAGGTGTCTCTTGGCTGCGATTGTCTCCACAGTATGTGGCAAGACCCAATTCCAAGGGAGGATCTTTGGCGGTGAGACGGCAAACCCCGAGCGGTGGCCATGGCAGGCCAGTCTGCTCTTTCGCGGCAATCATATCTGTGGAGCAGTTCTCATCGACAAAAACTGGATAGCTGGTGCTGCCCACTGCTTCCAAAGGTGCGTGTTCCCTCCCCGGGGGCCCTTCTGCTGGGAAGGGGTCAGAAGAGCGTCACTAGGAGGGAAGGAGAGAGGTGAAGGATGCATAGCAGCCATTTCCTTGTAGGCCGTGTTCTGGGATAGCTTGCTGACAGCAGGAGTCCTCTGTGCTGTTGCCCTGCCTGCCCTTGAGTGGTACCTTTCACCCAGATTGCCATCCCTCAAACAAAGGGACAAGAAGAGAGGCCCAGAGTTAGGAGGCATATTTCCCCTTTTAGGTATTCCTAGGAGCTCTGAGAAGAACAATTCTCACACAGTCCTAAGAGGAATCTGGTGAGGGCTGGGAGGGAGCAGTCTTTCTGCCGCTAAGATGAAGCAGTGCGGTTGGATGTACCTCAAGTATTTTTTAACGGGAATGAAATCCACAACTCCTTGGATACTAGGGGATGCTGGAGAAGTGATTGGAAGCCTTCCAAGGACCAAAGTCGTCAGGCTGCTGGAGGTCATCCTGCCCTTCAGGAGAAGGGCCAGGGGAGGACTAAGAGGATGAGACATGTGGTGTGTCAGCTGCAGGGTGGATGGGCAATCAAGGTGATGGTACCAACTCCACACTTAAAGGTGCTGCCCTCCAATAGGTCCCAGAAACCATCTGACTACCGGGTCCTGCTAGGGTACCACAAGCTGGGCAGTCCCACCAAGTACAGCCGGCAGATGACAGTGAATGCCATCATCTTCCACGAGAACTTTAACAAGTTCTACTTACAGAGGAATGACATTGTCCTGATGCAGCTGCACAAGCCTGTGACATACAGCTCCCACATCCTCCCAGCCTGCGTCCCGGAGAACACCACAAAGGTGTCCCTTGGTAGTTCCTGCTGGATAAGTGGCTGGGGGATGCTCACAGAGGATAGTGAGTATACAGGGGCAGGCAAAGAGGGTGAGGGGTAAGACACCATGGAGGCCTTTCCTGTAGTGTGGAGCTCAGTTCCCAGTTCAAAAGCAAATCTCCACCTTTCAGAACACAAGTGTGGGCTCTCTGACTCCAGAGCTCTCAGTGTGCTTGACCCTGTGCACTGCAAGATGCTCACCAAACAGGGGTTGCTCTACATTGGTCGGGAAAGACACGGGGTATCCTTCAGAAGATGAGACCTACCAGGCATGGGACAGGTTCGGGTGTTTAACTGGGGACCATTCACCTCTGAGAACCTCACTGCCCAATCCTTAAGGCAAGGGGAAAACTACCTGTTCCACCAGACTGTCCAACCTGTATACATGTGGTTCCAGTGCATAGATCCAGTCACCTGTGGACCAAAAGCCTGAGTGTTGGGGAGTGACATTCTCCTTGTCCTGATTCCCTAAACAATACAATATTGTGACTATCTGTGTCACATTTGCCTTGTGTCAACTATTGTGTCATCTAGAGACAATTTCAAGTGTGCAGGGAGATAACGTGCAGGTTCTCCTATGCAGAGGGAATTCAGCGTCTTTGGACTTTGGCATCCTGGGCCACAGGAAGAGCCTGCTGACAGCAAGGGACAGCTGTAGATGTTTACATTGGGAGTAGAGTTCCCTGGCAAGGATTCAACACAGGATGCTTTTGATTTAAGACAATATAATGGCAAGTTCAATAAAGTGAATATAAATGTGACATGAAATTTAGGTCACAGCCTGACAAAGCAGCCCTGAGGAGGCTTGCAGGCAGATGTTTCCCTGAGGTCAGGATTAGGGTCCCCATGCCTGCCCCTAGCCTCTCAGTGTCAGTCCCACAGGCTGGCCACTAGAACAGTGGCTCACCAGCACCAGAAGGGATGGACTCTCTAAGGGCCTATGTCAGGAGGGCAGGTAGGGTTTTCAGGTCTGGCCAGGCGATGAGAGTGGCAGCACAGAGGGAAGGTGTGGGCTGGGGCAGCTCTCAGAGCAGAGGACCTGGCCTCCCTAAGATGACCAGACCTTCAGCCATCTTCTGCCATGCCCTCATGGTTGCTGGGCCTGGGCCAGGCTCGGGTTTGCTACACATAGGCAGTCCCTGACCAACCTTGAGGGATGGGCGCTGTGACCCCTGCATGAAGTGAGCCATGCTGCGTCAGTCTGCTCCCATGAGATGACCCCAGGCCACATCTGGGAGAGCACTTGGAAACAGAGTTCAAGTCTTCAGGGCCACTTGCTCCTTGTGATTGGCCAGTCTTGTCATGCTCCTAAAGGTTTCTGGCCCATGTCCTATGCCACTGCTGCATGCAGGCTCCAGCGTCCCTGAGCCAGAGCTGTTTGAAAGCTGGCTTGCCCCTTCCTTGGCTTCTGTGACCTCAGGATATGTCTCAGTCCCCTAGACTGGTGAGGCGACTCTGTCTGAGGTCCCCATGCTGGGACCTTTGCAGTCAGCCTGACTTCCAGCCTGCTCCTGTCTTTCACAGCCCTCTGCTTGCTCTTGGATGCCATTTCCCCTGGTCACTGAATGCCTGTAGTGAGTCTTTCCCTTCCATTGTGACCTAGATTCACTGCTCCCCCACCCTGCCCCGCCCCGGGAAATCACCCTGGAAGGGGAGTGGCATCTTCACTCAGCTGTATCTTACAACTGAACCCCTTCCCACAGAGTTCCTGCCATCACCTTACCCTCTGCAGCAGGCACAGGTCTCCCTTATGGATACCAAGAAATGTGAAACCTTTTTCCAAGCTCCAGAAACCAACTTCATAAAATATAAAGCTATAAAAGATGATATGTTATGTGCTGAGGACATCACCTCAGGAAAATCCATCTGCCGAGTAAGTGAGGATGGCTCCATCATTGCGGTTGGGCTCAGTGATTTCTCTAATCCTGGCCAGCAGACCACCCTGTGTGTCCTTAGAGGCTTCCTCTCCCCTGTGGGTGGTGGGACAGAGGGCAGATGTTATAGTTTCCGTCCACATACTAAAAATTTGGGATTGCCCCAGGTAGGTACTGTACGAGATCCCTTTGCAGCTTTAAGCAGAATTCTATGATCCTGTCCTGAAGATACTGGCCAGAGAGGTCTCCTCTGTTTGAATTAAAAACAAACAAAAAGATACACCTCTGTAGACCCAAAGAGCATCACTCAAGATAGCTGGAGAGATCTCTGGTCCCCAGTGAGTCCTTTCTGCCCTGGGTGATGTGTATTGCTTCCTTCCTGGGCCTCCTAGCTATGTCTCTTCTCTCCTCAGGGAGATTCGGGGGGCCCCCTTGTCTGCTCACTGAATGGCTACTGGTATGTGGTCGGGCTGGCCAGCTGGTTTGCATCATGTCTCCAGCCAATTTCCACCCCCAACATTTTCACCAATGTCGCCTACTTTTCTGACTGGATCAAGAATAAAAAGCAAGAAACACCTGATGCCGACCCCTTCTCGGCGCCCCCTGAGGAAAGTGCCCCCACTATGATAGGCTGGAGGAGATATGTCAGTGATCCTACCAACAGACCCAGGATTTGCATAACTCTGCTGTTTTCTCAAGTCCTCTTTCTGCAATTGATTTGTCTCTGGATTCTATGGTAACCCCATAAGAGTGGTGCCAGCTCTCATGGTCTTGTCAAAATTCTCACCATGCACCACCTTGAATGCGTCTATCTGTGGACTCATCTGTCTATCTGAGGTTATCCCTACTCCAGGCCTGACAGAATAAAACAACGGAACAAACTTCTGAATCCCCTTTCTTGTGTCCAATCAGCATGCCCAAGCCCCTGTGTCCCACCAGGCTTCCCGTTCTTCAGTATCAGAAGGCCACCTCCTCCCTAGGTAAGGAAGTGGTTGAGACAGTCAGGGAACTGGCCTACCATTGCAGCAGCTTACTCTCTCCCATCTGGCTTCCAGAGACTATAGTCCACCCCTAACCCCTATGGCTGTGCTCTT